ATATATTTTATTTTATTTTTACTATACATTTTTATTATTTTGTAATTGTAAATGTATTTTGTATTACATGTACTTAAAGGGGAGCAGAGGTCTGGCTTTTATCACCCCGTACATGAAATTTGAGATCTATGAATGAATTCTGGCAATAAAAACAACTGGAATGTGCTGCGAAATGCCCGAAATATCGGGTATAAAACAGGCTTTCACGATTTCCAAGATTTTCAAAAAACTGCCAGCAAATAAATAAATAAAATACTAGTAAATAATAAATTCAAGTAAAAAAAGTGTATGATAAAAATGAATAACTGAAAATATATTTTTAAAAAAATGAGAACTATGATCTTATTTCATAATCAGATTGATACTAGTACTGTTCGAACTATCCTCGGGTGCGGAGCTACGTCACAAGACATTCCACGCTGCTGTGGAACGCCGGTCGAGCCGGTGAAAATACGAGAAAACAACACAAACTCAACTTTGAAGTAATCCTGAACAACCAAATTTATATATGTTGCACACGTAGGGCTAATCTTGTTACACTGTTCAGGGGAGTCTCAATGTTTTCTGTCAGTTTTGGCCTTTGTTTTCACCGCGAGGGTTGCCAGGCGGAGAAAATGTCCAGATGTCCGCCCCTGGGGATTGACATTCAGGATAGTTTGATGGCAATACTGGGTTTCATTGCCATACAAAATGACTCAGAATTGATCACATGTCACATATTTATTCATGTATGCAGATAAAAGCATTTCTTATCACCACAGAGGTAAAAATTCAAACTGGCATTCATACTGAATTTACACTCTCTTGTTTATACAAAACAAATGGAAAACAACTGTCCTTGTTGTTTTGTTTCCTTTTAATGTTTTTGCAATCTTAATGTTTTAGATATCATATAAAAAAACCTGACTTTTTGAAAATGAATGAAAAAGAACAATTTTGAGTAATTATGACAAGCTTTACAAGCAATAGAAACTGCACAATTCATCCATACAAGTATGAACTTAAGAGGTGGAACATAGCAACTCCATCAAATAAGTTTTAATGCAATGACTAATTGAGTAGCTTAGTAGTTTTATTCTAATACTTATTTTCATGTTTTTCCTTGGTTCCTCCATTTTAAGTTACATGTACCCGGTACTACTGAATGATAATCAGCAGAGGCTTAACACCTAGATGAGGTTGAATGCCAAAAAGAAACAACCCATGCTCAAACCACAAGCCATGATTCATTCACTAAAAGAAACAACCCACGCTCAAACCACAAGCCATGATT